ATGTTCCTTTCTGAATGGATTTCATGTTTCATATTCCAGTCCCTGACTATGAAATGCTTGGTGATGACAGTCACCGGTTGTACTGTGTTGAATGAGTAACACGTTTTCCGCTGAACTCAATCCGGTTTTGCTGCTCTGGAGGAAATGCGTGTTGTAAAGTGATGCTTCAGCAGGTTAATTGTGCAAACCCCTTTACAGACCCTCAAAATATGAAGCACGCTCTTATTGTCATCACAGCTATCATTTACACTGGAACAGAGGGAACGTGTTCACTATACTGTAAATATATAAATAAGTGTAGCAGGGACAGGAATGAAATATGGCTTTCCCATTTCAATGCAAATGAAGGAGAGAATGAATGCAGTGCGAGCGTCTCACCAGTGTTTCTGAGCTCAACATGCTCCTATAGACGCAGGAAATTAGTGTCCGCAAATGAAACTGTCTGTCAGCATGAATCCAGAGCCGAACTTTTCGCTGCCGTTGCATTGCGTACGGATGTTTACTTCAGAGTGCACTTCTTTTAATGCAGAAATGAACCAGCGTGACGGTCGGGGCGTAGGAGAAGATCTCTCAGAGCTTCATGTGCCTTCTGATCAGTGCTTTTCATTATTTGTGACCCTGGAGCACAAAAGCAGTGTTAAGTCGCTGGGGTATATTTGTAGCAATAGCCAACAATACATTGTATTTTTTGATTAGTAATATGCATTGCTAAGAACTTCATTTGGACAACTTTAAAGATGATTTTCTCAATATTTAGATTTTTTTGCACCCTCAGATTCCAGATTTTCAAATAGTTGTATCTCAGCCAAATATTGTCCGATCCTAACAAACCATACATCAATGGAAAGATTATTTATTCAGCTTCCATGATTTAAAAAATGACCCTTATGACTGGTTTTGTGGTCTAGGGTCACATTTGTCTTTTTTGTCTCCCAGCGCTAAATCAAGTCGTTTCTGTTTAGATGTTTGAGATCTGCCTGCTTCGTTTGCGAATGGAGATGTGTGGGTTCTGTGTGGAAATGTTGTGTTGATTTGTGTGTTTACGTGTCCTCACAGCAATCAGTCTTACTTACAATTCATTCCTTCACAAATTCTCTTTGTCAGACTTGTGAAGTTGTGAAGAAGTTTTGTCAGAAGCTCGTTCTGTGATTTCATGCAGTGTAATGAAAAAATTCAATTTTATTGAAATTGTATTGTTTTTTTGTTTTTTTTCTTTTAACGTGGCTGTGTTTTGCCCATGTTTTTTTTGTGTGTGTGTGTAAATACTGTACATTTCTCTTCACTTCAGCACGGGAGCTTGTAGGGGTTGGGTGCCACTTTTTTTTTTCTTCAACTATTTGTTTTCTCCTGTTTTTTGGCTACTCAGAGAGTTAGTTCAGTCCCTGTATTTTTGTTCAGATTTTTTTCTTTGTCGCATAGTAAGCTTTATCGGGAAAAAGGTAGATTCCGTTTTTGTTTATTATTTTAGCCTTGGCCCGAACCTGAAGCCCATTCGCTTCCCATCTGTGTGCTGATTATTGCCATTGAACTTGACTAGTAAAAAATAAAAGAGTAAAGTAAAAGAGAAAACAAGCAGTCCGGTGTAAAGACATTTATTTATTGTTCTCAGGCTCTAGACCTGGGACGTAACACCGTATTTATCTGTATTCAACATCTAACTGTATACAGCAGTTTTTTAGCACGACATTATATTAAATAAATGCATTTAGAACACACTTGTATCCAAAATGACTTACATTGCATTGAAGGTATCCAGCCCATGCATTCTCTGGGATCTGAATCATGCATTCTCTGGGATGGGAATGCAAACCACGGCTTCTTGGGGATTATTGCTTTTATAAAACTTTTATTATTCCATATATGTAGTAAGGTTTCACAGAATAAAACCGAGCAAATAAAGTGTAATTTGTGAATTGGTGGGTTTTTGTTAAATGTGAGCCAAAATCATCACAATTAAAAGAACCAAAGACTTAAACTACTTCAGTCTGTGTGCATTGAATTTATTTAATACACGTGTTTCACAATTTGAGTTGAATTACTGAAATAAATGAACTTTTCCACGACATTCTAATTTATTGAGATGCACCTGTAGTATGAATGAGATTTTCTGTGTGTGTATTCTTCATAACTGTAAGTGTCACACACTGCTTTTGCTCGTTCTGTGTGTAAAATCGTTCTCCTGTTTGTGTTTCTCCACAGCTCCATGGCTGATTGACTCTAATTATGTATCTAAACGAACCAACTCGCTTCTGTAGCCAGCAATATTGGTTTTCCTGAAATCTTAAAGTCGCAAGGCCTTGCGTGTGACATAATGAAGTTCTGTCCAAGTTAATTCTCTGGCAGGTTTAATGGTGCATTTCGAGCCGTTGCTCGCGCCGCATTAGCAGCGGGGAAACGCTCCGCGGGGAATCCAGTGCAGCTCAGTGCATTAAAAGTTTGGACTCACCCGCTGTAATGGTTTAGCTGAAGAGATGGGAACATTGGTGTCTAATGAAAGCAGTCTGTTAAGGAGTGATGAGACACACAGACTCGGGTTTCACAAGAGCTTTGGGTTCTTGTTCAGGATGTGATGCAAACTTTGTCTTTGCAGAGAAACACTTCAGCTTCTGAGAACTTACGTATGTTTAAATACTTTGAGATTCAGAGATACATTTTTTTTTCATGAATTTTGTCCACCAAACAGTCAATACCAAAATATTCGGCAGCACAACCCATGAAACAGACTGAACATCTGCTGATTTTCATTGACTGTAAATGAAGTGTGCGCGCTCCTCTCTCTACTGCCATCTGTGGCTGAAACATGAAAGTGCAACTCTGAATATAAATCATTATTTGTAGGCGTATTGTCATAAATCGAGATAAAGAAGCAGAAATTATCATGTGTTTTGTTTATTTCTAATGCAAAATTAATCTTTAGTAGTGTGCTTTTAAATATAGACTTCACCCTCTCTCACAAAAGCATACTGAAATCTGTCGCACATTTGTCATCTATGGTTACAGCAGTATTATTTTAGTATCATTGAGATACTATCATAGTTTGTTTTAATTAATTAATATTTATTTTTTTTAAATATTTTTATTTTAAAGTAGTAATTTTGTTGTGTTTTTGTCATTTTTTGTCACACTGTGTGTGTGTGTGTGTGTGTGTGTCAGTGTCAGTGTGCGTGCGTGCGTGCGTGAGAGCTTGTCTGTGTGTGAGTGTGAGTGTGTGTGTCTCTGTGAGTGTGTGTGTGTGTGTCAGTGTCAGTGTGTGTGTGAGTGTGAGTGTGAGTGTGTGTGTGTCTCTGTGTGTGTGTGTGTGTGCGTGTGTGTGTGAATGTGAGTGAGTGTGTCTCTGTGAGTGTGTGTGTGTGTGTCAGTGTCAGTGTGTGTGTGAGTGTGAGTGTGAGTGTGTGTGTGTCTCTGTGTGTGTGTGTGTGTGCGTGTGTGTGTGAATGTGAGTGAGTGTGTCTCTGTGAGTGTGTGTGTGTGTGTCAGTGTCAGTGTGTGTGTGAGTGTGAGTGTGAGTGTGTGTGTGTCTCTGTGTGTGTGTGTGTGTGCGTGTGTGTGTGAATGTGAGTGAGTGTGTCTCTGTGAGTGTGTGTGTGTGTGTCAGTGTCAGTGTGTGTGTGAGTGTGAGTGTGAGTGTGTGTGTGTCTCTGTGTGTGTGTGTGTGTGCGTGTGTGTGTGAATGTGAGTGAGTGTGTCTCTGTGAGTGTGTGTGTGTGTGTCAGTGTCAGTGTGTGTGTGAGTGTGAGTGTGAGTGTGTGTGTGTCTCTGTGTGTGTGTGTGTGTGCGTGTGTGTGTGAATGTGAGTGAGTGTGTCTCTGTGAGTGTGTGTGTGTGTGTGTGTGTGTGTGAGTGTGTTTTGTTTATTTCTAATGCAAAATTAATTAATCTTTAGTAGTGTGCTTTTAAATATAGACTTCACCCTCTCTCACAAAAGCATACTGAAATCTGTGGCACATTTGTCATCTATGGTTACAGCAGTATTATTTTAGTATCATTGAGACACTATCATAGTTTGTTTTAATTAATTAATATTTAATTTTGTTTAAATATTTTTATTTTAAAGTTGTAATTTTGTTGTGTTTTTGTCATTTAAATTTTTTTTTAATTTTAAACATTTTTATTTCAGTTTTAGTTTTAGATATTTTAGTACATAATTTTAGTACAATGCTTTGACAACTAGCTGAAATAAAATAAGTTTTTGTATTTAATTTTATTTTATGAAGTGATGAATGTTTTTATGGTTTTAGTTTAACACGTAAGGGGTTACAGTAAGATATTCTACTGTATATATTTCTGTGTTCATTGTGTCAGCGATGCGTCATTTCTTTCTTTGCTCTTTCACTGTGTTTCTGAATTGAATGTAAATGAATGCAGGTTCATTTGTTCAAAATTATTCACTCTCTTATTTTTTCCAAACCCATAAGACTTTGATCACAAAACACAAATGGAGATATTTTTAATGAAACTTCAGAAATGTATGTCCCTCTATTGAAAGCACATGCAACCCTAAAAGTAATCCATGTTCCGTGAGATAATATTATAGTTTTTATTAATATTTTTAATTCGTTTTTATTTTTAAAATGTCTAATTTCATTTTCATTTTAGTTAAACTTTAAGTAATTTTGTTGTGTGTTTTTGTCATTTTTATTATTTTTTGTGTTGTTATATATATATATATATATTTTTTTTTTTTGTCTATAACCATGTCTATATGTTTTTATCTCAGTTCTAGTTTTAGTTATTTTAATACATCAACTTAAACTAAATGAAAATTAGAAATGTTGACTTGGCAACTAGCTGAAATAAATGTAAGTTTTTTTTAAATACTTTATTTTATTCCAGTTAATATTTGTTTTATTTCAAGTAACTGAAAGTTATGTTTTCATGTATGTAACTATAATAACTATAATATAATTGAGTTTAAGTTCTACAGAAGTGTGTGTATGCAGCTCATTCTGCTCTTCTAAAGTGTGTGTGTGTGTGTGTGTGTGTGTGTGTGTGTGTTTCAGGTCGAGGCCGGACCATCAGTGATTGACATGAGCAGAAACCTTCCGTCCGATCCAGCATCATTTCATAAGGGATTCACACGCACGTGTTTCACGCACAGATAGTACAACTTTACATTTTGCCGTTTCACTTCATTGATTAAAGCTCCTCTTTCACATTCCCTGCTCGTTCCTAAACACCGTCAGAAGCGATAAACTCATCCCGTCCTCGCGTGTTTCTCGTCCGTGTTAAAGGGAAATCATCTTGAGGAGCATTGGGTCTGACACCAGCGCCGCATCAGGACAGATGCTCGGACCTAATGGAAAGTGAGTAGCTTAAGAAAGCAGCGGCGAAGCGTCAGCGGTGCTCGCTTTTCCCACCCGCCCCGTCTCAGCCTAATTAATGCCTGCCCAAGAACTAACTTGTAGCTGTCAGCGTCTGCCGGCTCCGCAGAAATCCAATAACTTCAGCCAGCAATTTATGTGGAACACCAGCGAAGCTCCAGCAAACTCCAAATGGTGCATTCAACTCCACTGCATTTTGAAATCCTGTTTGTTTTTTTTTATAAGTTGTCAGGTACTTTGAATATTGCATATATTGGAATTTGAAATGTGTCAAAATAATCAGAGGCCTTACTGCAAACATGTTGTGCCTGTCTTTTATTACATATAGAAATAAAAATGGTTTTCACTCCTAGAAGTTTCCATGACTGCTTGTTTATCACTCGCTGCATGTAAGGTTTTCAGATTAAATACACTACCGGCCATTTTAAAGTTTTTAAGTCTCTTCTGCTCACCAAGGCTGCATTTATTTGATCAAAAATACCGTAAAAAAATGTAAATATTTTTACAATTTAAAACAGCTGTTTTCTATGTGAATATCTGTTAAACTGTAATTTATTTCTGTGATCAAAGCTGAATTTTCAGCATCATTACTGCAGTCTTCAGTGTCACATGATCTTCAGAAATCATAATAATATGCTGATTTGCTGCTCAAGAAACATTTCTGATTATTATCAATGTTGAAAACAGTCGTGCTGCACAATATTTTTGTGGAAACTGTGATACATTTTATTTTTTCAGGATTCACAGATGAATAGAAAGTTCAAAAGAACAGCATTTATTTGAAATAGAAATCTTTGTAACATTATAAATGTGTTTACTGTCACTTTTGATCAATATAACGCATCCTTGATGAATGAAAGTATTCATTAATGAAAAAAAAAAAAAAGCTTTCTTACCCCATATATACACATACTATAGACAGAAGTTTCTCAGACCTTATTTTGCTCATGAATTGAAAAACCCCGTTCTAAACCCCAGAGGAGAGTCGGCAGGATTAGTCTTCAGGGTCTTGACGTCACGACTGCAGCTCAGCTCTCTATTAGATGATAGATTAGTGGAAACAACCCTGCAGAAGACTTCCATGTTTCTTCTGTAATTTCTTTACCTCCCAGCCGGAGCAAATGTCAGTGGATTAAAGAGAAAGAAGTTCTCCGGTAGTTCTGCTTATAATGTCTGTGGGTCAAGGGCAAAATAAAGCCTGTCCTTATCAGTATCACTGTAATAAATGTAAAACAGCTGGAAAACTCAGTCTGGCCATGAATTTCAGAGTCAGCTCAACTTGAAGACAACTTGTTTATGTTTATTTCGAGAAGCTTATGTCCAGAGATGCTTCAGACTCGGCTTTTATTTCCATTTGCATTTTGAAGAATCACTTTGGAGACGAGAAGACTGGATGTCAAAGTCTGTGGGTCAAGGGCAAAATAAAGCCTGTCCTTATCAGTATCACTGTAATAAATGTAAAACAGCTGGAAAACTCAGTCTGGCCATGAATTTCAGAGTCAGCTCAACTTGAAGACAACTTGTTTATGTTTATTTCGAGAAGCTTATGTCCAGAGATGCTTCAGACTCGGCTTTTATTTCCATTTGCATTTTGAAGAATCACTTTGGAGACGAGAAGACTGGATGTCAAAGTGCAAGACCTTTCTAATTTTGAAGGCGGACACATTTTTGAGGACAGCAATTTCAAGAATAAGATGCAATAATTTCAGCCTATGTTTTTTTTTTTTTGTACCATATATTATTATATGATTATTTTTATTTGTGCAGTTGCATTGCAAGGCTGTCAGTCAAAAATGTGTTACTTTTTTAAAATATATATATATATAATTTCAAGAGTATACCGCAAAAAAGTCACAACTGATCCCCAACAAAACAAAGCTGCACAATAAATGTTGTTATTCGTGACGCATAAAGGCACACAGAAACAGACAGGCTGCACACTGACTCGGCAGAAGCTATCTTACAGAGTTTCACAATTTTTTATTTGTATTTTTATTCATTATTTAAGAGACTCGCCCATTCTCTCCTTGATCAACCAGCATCTGATACCACCACTAGGTGGCGTCTTGCCAGATGCGTATAGGCAAAAGTAATGTTGGGTTAGTAAACCGAAGGAGGAAGCCAGTGTGGGAAAGAAACACTTGCTGAAGCCATGCACATATGCGCATACCAGTATCAATAACTTAATGTCTTAGACGTCCATTATCGCAAACGTTCAAGTGCTGTATAATTTCACAAGAGTATGCATTACCGCACGTACAGTTCCAGGTAGACTTGCTTTTCGACGCACCACGTTATTCATTCACCAGCAGACAGTATCTTCTGATTGAAATGGATTAATAAAAGGTGCATTTCCATGGCTAGAGGCTCCTAATTTCCACGTGGAATTAAACCTGACGTTCTGGTTCGAGCTAGTTCATCTAAAAAGCTAATCTCGATTATTAATATTTTTTCTCCAAACACTGAAAGGAACCTGGATTTTGAAAGAAGTGCAACCGAAATGAACAAGCAAAACAAAGCGCTTTTTTCTTCTTTTTGAACCGATTACACTCTATATATGAAATATGAGACCACAAAAGGTAGGATATAACAAAAACCTGAGAGTCCAATAGCGGAATCCCCAGCAAGGTGGCACTTCCATTTTCTTTGTATAGAAAGCTTTTTTAACAGTCATGCAAGGGCACAGTCTTATTGATACAAGGCGGCTGGGGGGCGCAGGGAAAGCAAAAAAAAAAAGATAAAGAAATATACAAAAAGGAAAGAATGAATACAGATGAGCAGGCACTGTACGTTTATAATAGACATTGATTCGAAATGTACCCATTGTGACTGAAAAACTCAGGATTGTTCTTCGTCCCTTGACAGAAGTTTCTCTACACCTATCTAAATGATCAAATCTAGTTCCTAGATGGACCTACGTGCATCTTTAGATTACACCTGGATTTCAGGATATATGTAAACCTGCATGGCACTTGCCTTTTTTTTTTGGCAGGCAATTTGAGGGCTTAAGTCAAATTTTGGACACAAGTACACATTTTCCAAGGTGGCCTAGAGTGGTCTTTTCTTTGGTGCTTAAGCAAATGTAACAGATTTGTCTCTTTTCTAAGGTTTCTAGAAGTGATTAAGTGATTGAGAATCGATATACAAATAATAATTATTTATATATATTAATGTAATTACCTACAGGTTTTAATTTATATAAATAATTACAGGTTTTTAAAATCACACACATATGTATATGCATGTATATTAGTCAAGTCACTATATGGGGGTTATAAAATAATCAGACAAATTAATTACAGGTTTTTAATACATTTTAAGGGGTCAATAGTACATAAATATTTGCATTTATGAAAATACATTAAAGCCTTAAAATGGCACCGTGGCAAATTTCGCACTTTGAGGAAATTGGCGATGCACAATGTGGATAATTTTATAAACCTTTAAAAAAAAAAAAAAAACTAGCACCAGTCCTATTATTTGTAATTGCTTTCAGATAACTGGATGTTCACATAAAGATCTTTGTTATGCATTCATGGTAAATAAGAATACAGGCATTTATTCTGAATTATTATATAATAATGAATGTCACATTCTCACAGGAGAACATTTATAATGCAGTGTGCTTGTAGCTAGAATCAGCCACAGCACTATTAACCGTTTCTCATGTAACTCAGAATCTAGTTTATTTTTACTAAACGTCTAAATAGTTCTCATCAAGCTGCAGACGCTGCCACCGGTTGCTCTCACAGGAACCAAATCAGGCTCATGCTCGTTTATTATTACATCACTGCACTGCACCTTTTCTTATTCACTCAATCAAGAGCGCAAAGAGGAGCACTTCTGTTGCCGTGCCAACCAAGACAACACAATGGACTCGGAACGTCACGTCGATCGCTGCCGTGCATCCAGACTGAACACAACTCAACTCCAGCTTACTTTACAGCTGATCTTAAACCGACAGACGCATTTGTTCTGGTTAGCGAGGTGACACATGTAACACTAGCACTAATATCAAAAGGAGGAGACAGAAATCTGAGGCAGAAATATAATACAATTGGTTTTATTCTGCAGTTTCTACGTTACGTGTCTTGGCAGATGCAGAGATCAATATCGGCAATGAACATTGGGCCGTCTCTTTTTGAGCATTAAAAACAAGCCTTTGAGACATAATGCCACTGTTTTCAATAGATTCAAACGATTTTAATATCATTTTGAAATATTTGTAATCACAAGTTTCCCCAGAGGGACCAAAACATGGGGGTCTCGAAGCTCGTAAGTGAAAATCACAACAAAAAGTTTGCCATTGCTAACAAAAAGGAGATTAATACACGGAGACATTTTTACAAGATCAATAATAATAAATCACTAGACATTCATTTTTACAATAAAAACAGTTCTGCACAAAACATTTTGAAGGCAAAATACAACAGGATCAAACCAGGTAGGGCAGAAAGAAAAAGGCGTATTTATTTTTCTTTACTTCCTAAAATGTGTTACTTTTTTTTAAAATATATATATATATAATTTAACATTGTTTATCTTATTGTTTATTTTTATATTATTTTAATTTTAATATTTTTGTAATTAATAGTAATAATGCAATTAAATAACAATTTGTAAAATATTTTATAATTAATAATAATAATATTAAATAATTATATTAATAATAATAATAATAATAATAATAATAACTTAACATTGTTTATCTTATTGTTTATTTTTATATTATTTTAATTTGAATATTTTTGTAATAATAGTAATAATGCAATTAAATAACAATTTGTAAAATATTTTATAATTAATAATAATAATATTAAATAATTATATTAATAATAATAATAATAATAATGTAACA